TGTCTCTTGTTTGCTTCTGCTGCTGCAGATATCTGAGAATGTCTATGAGGAGGACGTCCTCCAACAGCAGCTTCTCCTCCTTCGCCGTGGTTTGGATGGGTTCTCTGCACATGTGGTTTGATGGACAGGAGTCCTGATGTGATGGACAGCTCTTCTGTGGCCCCCTGGTGTTCATGTTCACAGCTACCTGCTTCCTCTTCCTCTTCTATTTCCACCACTACGCTCTCGTGACCCTCATGTGACGATGTCATCTTTTGTTGTTTCCCTCAGGCTCATCTTCTCCATCGCTCACGACTTCCCCCGTTCCTCCTCTCAGATGGAACAGAGGTTCTTGTTCTGGATGCTGGGGTTTCACAAAGGGACTGAAAAACAATATGAGAATACTTATACATGCAGACTGAAAGTAGACTGGAGAGCGAAAACCGTTTATGGTACAAGAAACCAAAAACATTCATTTTAATGAAAATGCTGTCCCAGCCACTAATTGAGATGGTGTTTTATCACTTAGCATCACAAACCATTTACAGCAAGCCTTTTATTGCAGCTCTACACACCTTTCTCTTATGGCGGAAATGACTCATCAATTACAACAAATTGCCGCCGTCCACCGATGAGCTGTCCTTTTTGTCCTTTTTGTCCTTTTTGTCGTCTCGTCCTCTCAACAGCCCGTCTGCACACCTTCCTTAGTTTTGTGCCCATCTTGGAGAGGGTTGCAGCAATATCGTCCTCCACCATATCAACCTGTCTGAGACGAAGGCCCTGTGCAAATCTATAGAATACATCACACACACATCATGAGTTTACATCTTTTTCAAAAAGCTTTTCCTAAGTAATGTAGCACTTTGAAATGTATCACCTATAAATGAACTGCATCCACTGAGAGAGTGAAAGTCTGGACTTGCTGAAAAGAGATTTGTCCCTAATTGATTTCACTGTCTTGGTCCTTAATAAGAGCACACGGTAAATAAACAGGTTATTGATCTGATTGAGAGAATATCATTACTGTGCATCAATCACTGTAAATGTTACACACACATACGGCAAGTGGATGTTCACATTGTACAAGGCATTGAATAGATGACTGTGTGTTTTTGGCTGGTAAGTGAAGGAAATGTCACTTGCATATTTCACCAGCATTTGGCTGATCGCTGGTTTAATTGTGTGCACTAAATGCATCCAACAAATATGTTGGTTTAGGATCCATCTTCCAAATCCATTTGCATCCCTTATAATGGCTGCTAAATAATGAGAGAATAAACACAAAACTGCTCAGTCAATAGCGCTGTTTTATAAAAATAGTTAAAAGGTTATTACCAGCTGTAATGGTCTCTGTCCTTCTTTGTCAACTTCATCCTCTGCTGACAGATGCAGCATTACATTTTTTTTTTGAAGTAATTTAATTAGCATCAAAGTTTTTCTCCGAACAACCTTCAAACATCAGTTTTCTGACTCTGTCTTGGAGTGACATCCTGCTAAACTCACTTATCTGTCCTCTTCCTTCTCTTTCCGTTGCTTTAGAAGGCTTTTGACTCTCCATTTGGTGACTTTCATGGACAGGATATCTAGGCGCACCCGGGGGGTGGAGGACCTCGGGGTCGGGGGTCTCCATCTCCTCTCTGCTGGTGCTGATGTGATGTTGTCCTGTTGGCCTCCTCGCTCAGTGACCTCCAGCACTCAGTGAGGCACTTTGCACCAGATCCTCTTGGTGAAGAGCTCTATTTGCTTTCATTTGAGTTGAGGTGCTACTGGAAAACAACCGAGGTGGTTCAGGCACACTGACAACTGGCAAAGAGACTCTGTGCTGGTTCACTTCCAGCAGGAGAACCGCACAACGTTAAGCAGGACGGTTTTTAATCTTCATCTCCCGATTGACACGTTCCTCCTCGTCTGTCTGCCTCTCTCCTTCAGCACTGGCTCAGTGAGTTGGAGATCTTTGCCATCATTTTTGCAGCTGCCATTCATGACTACGAGCACACAGGGACCACCAATAACTTCCATATTCAGACAAGGTTATTCCCACGTAGCATCGTTTGTAGCATTTCAATCCCTGCAGTCTCTGAGGACAGTGGACAACACTGGAGCATGAAGAGATATCTAACAGGTGACCTAATAAAAAGTCTACTATGAATGATAGCAGCTTTACCTCATACATTGTTGGCATCATCACGATGACGGTGAGGGTGATCATTCCTGAAGTAGCCGTGTCGCATTTGCAGGTCAGACACCGCCATGTTGTACAATGACCGAGCTGTTCTGGAGAACTACCACGTCAGTGCTGCATATCGCCTTCTACAGCACAGTGATGACATGAACATTCTGTCTAATCTCTCCAAAGACGAGTGGAGGTAAGAGAAGAGCGCTGCAGCTGAAGGGACGTCCTTTTTTACCGCTGTTTCCATTCAATGACTTCAAATAATAATTCACTGTACAATACAACCCCCAGATTACAGTGCAAGTCATTGCTTCTAAAATACTGCCTCCTACTGGTGCTTAGAGGGAGCTACAGCTGATGATACCAGGGATAAACACGTCACCTTATTTTACAGTCAAGCAGAATCAAATGACTCATTTTAGGGACAAGTTGAGTAGTTTGGGGCAGAGTTGCATCGATCTGGCACTGCATTGCTGCAGAAATATAGAAGTGACAGCAACAGGATGAAAGCATCTCAGTCTCCTCTGATAAAACTTTCCCCAAGCTTCATCTAAGATTCCTTCTGTAGGGAGCATGAATGTTTTACTGCCTGCCCTCTTTCAGAGAGCTTCGGGCTCTGGTGGTGGAGATGGTGTTGGCCACAGACATGTCCTGCCACTTCCAGCAGATCAACGGGATGAAAAGCCACCTGCAGCAACATGAGGCGTGAGTCTTTCACGTCTGGGTCCGACCCGCCTCATGCTGCCAGTCACTCCAGTCCTTCACAATGCTGAAACTATCAAACCATGATTGTTTCTGCTTTACAACCCTTCACGCGCCGCGTCCACTAACTGGACTGGACTTGCAGGCCCGACAAAGCAAAGGCCTCGTCCCTGCTACTGCACACTGCTGACATCAGCCACCCTGCCAAACGCTGGGACCTCCATCATCGCTGGACCACATCCCTTCTGGAGGAGTTCTTTAGACAGGTGACCACTTTGAATCAATGAGCGGCCTTTTCATTTATGCAGTACTCCACATGGCTCTGCACCAGTGACGAAGAAGAAGAAGACAAAGTTTGGACCCAGTTTGTTTTCAGAGGTAAAATAAGCAGACGAGTACTCTGGGTGTAACATAAGATAAACCAGCGCTGCCGCTCGCAGCTCACCACCTGCTAACAATAGTTGATTGTATACATTCATTAGAATAAGGTTTAGTCTTTGTACATGTGAATTAGTAATGAGGTAGTAGAAGACGCTCAGCACCTTCTGGTGGACTTGTCCTCCAGTAGCAGGCAGTCAGTGGTTGTTCATGTGAGACAATGACTTAGGAGGAAGGCGTGTAGGGAGGGGAGGAGATGAACTGTGGCTGAAAACATGTCGACAGTCCGAATCCACTCAGCGAGGAAACATTACAACAACAGGATGATTGTACATGTAGTCTGAAGTGCTGAAGCAGCCATGTGGGTCCAGATAAGATCATTGGTCACACTGAGACCATCTTAAGTACAAAAGGAAGAGATACTAACTAATAACGCTGCGGAAGTGCTACTGAAGTAACATGTACTACATGTAAAGGCAAATCCACATTCTGTGTACAAATGACACAGGAATGAGAAATGAGCAAACAGATGGTGACGTGTTGTGTTGGTGAGCCTTGATGGCAGCACCTTGTAACGCTGCTTTGTCTACTCGTTTTTAGGGGGATAAAGAAGCGGAGCTGGGTCTACCGTTCTCTCCTCTCTGTGACCGCAAACCCACCACGGTGGCACAGTCTCAGATTGGTAAGATAGAATAAGAATCATTTACACCACAAAGCTGCTTGTTTGTTTATCTGCTATCTAATGAACAGTCTGCTCCAGTGTACCTCTGTTATGGAAACCGTTGTCCCAGTATATCGATTCATTTGGGAGAAAAGTTCAGATGTTTATACGCTGGACCAACATTCGTATCTAGTTGTTGTGCGTGTGGAAGTAGCATGAAAACTAAATTATTATTTAGTTACTATCAAATAGTAAAAACATGTCAACACAAATTAGAATCAACAAGGTGAAGTGAATCTGTTAAGTGGGCGTGTCTTCCGTATCCGGCAGGATTCATTGACTTCATGGTGGAACCAACATTTACAGTGCTGACAGAAATGATGGAGAAAACTGTGACTCCGCTTGTTGAGGAGGCATCGCGATCTGGAACGGCTGACAAACAGAAGATTACAAACACTTATTTTAGATGATCCTGTGGTGTAGATCAGCCGTCCCCAACCTGCTCCCGTCTTCCCCTCACGGACCATCGGCTGACGTCCTCATCTCATCAGATCGCTACTACCAAGACAGGAAGTCACAGATAGAAACTAAAACAGACCTTCAAAAGGCCCAATTTCAATTGTTTCCATGTGTTCATTCTGGGCCACCGTAGGAACATGACCACCCCTCCCTAGATAGTTTTAACACTATTAAAAACCAGCATATAGTAAGAATCTATTCAATTTCCATCAACAGATCCCCCGATACGCTACACACTGTTTATTTAAGGAAACTAGTACTTTAATACACTATAACCTTAAGCATGAACAGCAACACTGCATTATCATCTAAACACGCTAGGAAACAATATTTACAACACGTTGATGCTTTTACTTTGAAGGGTAACGTTGACGGCGTTGCTTTGTCCAATAAGAGGCACCAGCTTTCTACCTCAACACGTCTGACAGGATGTGTGTTTGTGTGCACATGTCTACACTGTCCACAGTGACCACAGTGTCAGTGGCAGTGATGGAAAGAGGTCCAGTGTGAAGAGTACAGGCTCAGAGGGCAGCTGCTCTCTGACCACGGTGGACTTCAAGGGCTTCAAGGTCACATGGAACAAGGAGATTCACCACAACAGGGAGACGTGGAAGAACCAGGCAACCAAAGGTGCCCATACTTACCACCTGGTATCATCTGTCACTCTCTACAGGGCTCCTTCCAGTCCGGGGGGCCACATTATCAAACACACATGTGAGAAGCAGCTAAGCGTATTAGCTGTGAGAAGACATTGTAGCACTGCTTACTTTATCATGTCCTTATTTAATACACGCATGTCCATGGACTAATTACCTTCTGACAAATACAGGTACAGTCTGGGTTTTACTTCCTTCTGATAATCATGTGAATCAGCCTGTGAGCAGCAGCAGCTTCATCCTAACGTCTTCTGAGTGCTGCAGTGATGTCAAATGAAGCAACATCATAGAGAATATTGCTTTTGTTAATGCGTGTTTGTGTTCTGGAAGACCTGGAGGAAAAGGTCCAGAAGGAGGCAGGGGAGAGTGGCCGGCAAGAGAAGGACACAGCAGAGGAGACACAGCCAAAGAGACACAATTCAGGACAGGAGATGAAGACAGAGGTGGAGGGTCAGGTGGTGTTGGAGAGCAGGGTGCAGCAGGAGGTACAAACGCCCAAAGAGGAGGAAGGAGGAAATAATCCAGGTGGACCTTCAGCATCAGGCCCAAAGAACACAGAGGCAAAGCCTGAGGAGCACACTGAGAAGCAGCCGTGCCACAATGGTCAGCATCCCCACAGTGTACTTAGTAGTACTGTGCTCAGGTACACTAAAACTAGTAGGACTATACTTTGACTCATTTTCACAGTATGTATTGGTTCATTCAGGAAATTAGTAAAAAATACTGTAAAAAGGTATCAAACTAATTTGTAGTTCAATATTCAACATTTACACACAAATGTGGTGAATAAAAGTGTAACAATCTTATTTGTTATCAAATTATCAAACATTATTAAAGTTAAAAAGCAACAGCACCTGTTGACATCTGGCAGGTTCCTGTTTATCAGCAGGTAGAAACATTAAACTATTCAAATTAATAGTATTTAACAAATAATAACGGGGCACCACCCTGGGATCAGGGGCCAATAACCAGACTATAAATGAGTTGTCTCACTGTTGGTGTTCACCCAATGTGTCAATAGTCAAAGTTGTGTTTGAAGGTTTGAATTCGAGCACCAGATCGTCATCAGAACAGTGCAATTTAATTCAAGCCACATGCTGATAAAAGATGATTATTTGTGTGTGTTTAAAGCACGTGTGTCTCTTGTCGTTACGTTGAATGTGTTTTGTATGTCGGCCTCGTAGTGCATGCACGTCTTTTGATTGGATTACCAATATTGAGAGGCGGGTCCTATATGAGCAGGTCCATGCAGAACCTCAGAACTAGGAAACTGAATTAATTTGTGTACTACAATTAAATCTTAATTCCAATGAACAGCTTAGTAGTCTACTAAGCTGTTTTTCTAACCCACAATGGCAGAAGGAGGAGAAGATACCGATTTGATACCGAGAGGTCGCCCGAGGCCGACGCTACAAAGCCCGTCACAGGCGGGAAAGGGGTTCGTTCGCCACTTTCTTCGTTCCAACTACGAGCGCCATCAACGGCTCACAGGCCCCGAGAAGCTCTGCAAACTGGACTGCTGGGAATGCCTGTTATTTGCCAGTGATGGAGTTGGTGTTTGGAGCCACACTGGCTTTGCTAACTTGAGTTGTCTAACCAAGGCAGCAACCAGACACCAAAGTACGGCTGGACACTTACAAGCAACGGTGCTTTTCAAAACCTTTAGGGACACCCGAGTGGATGTACAGCTCAACGAACCAGCGCGCAGGGCAACGGAGCTGCACCATGAAGAGGTGAAGGAAAATAGGGAAATATTGAAAAGACTCGTTGATCGTGACGTTCATTTAGGGGACACGATGAAAGTGTGACTCCACAAACAAAGGGAACTACGTGGAGCTTCTTTCTTTCTTTTCTGAAAGCAACACAGATTTTCGATAGCACCTGTCCACTAAGCAAGTCTTCATTGGGACGTCAGGCAAAATACAAAAGGACCTAATTCATGCTATTGCTGAAGTGATGGGAGAAGAGATCAGAATGGGGATTAAAAAGCTCCCTTTGTTGCTGTTATGGAGGACCAGACAACAGATGTGAGAAATGCAGCACAGCTCCCACTCGTCCTGCGTTATGTGACGGACACAGGAGTCAAGGAGCGATTCATCCCATTTCAAGATGTGACAAGCGGCCAGCGGGCTGATGACATTGCCGCTCTTATTTTCCGTTTCTTGGAGGGAAATGAATGTAGTGTGGATAAAGTTGTGGCAGTGTTTTGATGGCGCAGCAGTCGTGGCATCTGGCCTCAATGGGGTGCAGGCTAAAGTTAAGGAGAGGGCACCGATGGCCTTATTCATTCACTGCTATGCACATCGATTCCATTTAGTACTGACTCAAGGAGCCTCAGAGCTTAAAGAAGGTCTTCCTGGCCAACCTCAACGGCCTTGCAGCCTTTCTCTCACGATCCCCTAAGCGCACACAGCTGCTGGATGACATCTGCAGCGCCGTCTTCCTAAGGCTGCACCACGAGGTGGCAATGTGCATCTAGATTGGTCATGCAGCCTTTGAAAGAGAGCTGCCCTAAAG